ATATAATATAATATACATAATAATATTGCATTAGTCTTGTATAGCACTTTTCTAGACAATGAAACACTGTTTGCAGTTTTAAGCATTATTCATTCACTGCTCACTCACACTCAGTGGTGGAAGGGTGGCTGCATCCCTGCACCTACAGCCCCTCCAGACCACCACAATCACACAGTCACACCAACAGATTTATACATGGGGAAGCTGGGTTAACCATGAAATGTTCAGTTTGAGATGTTTAGAAGATGCTCAGCTCTTAAACGTTTGCACTTATTTCTTTAATTTCATTTAGCTTGAGATGTTCACATAAAACATTCAGGTCATAGAATCACGTTAAATAATTTTTCATTAAATTCTATGTCTTGTACATTTCTAATTCTAATAAAATTTGGGTGCACCTAACTTTTGTGKTGGTGCACCTAAGGAAAAAAATAGTAAGGCACACCTGTGCAACAAGTGCAAAAAAAGTTAAAGTCCTGATATTTAGCATATTTTTAGAATTGTATTCAGACAAAAACACTTTGAGATTTTGGCAGCTTTGAGGGGTTCAAATTTTTTTTAAAAAAACTAATGGGGCCAAAAGGCTGCTTACTGAATAGGCCTGGTTTATAAAAATAATAGGCTTAAAACTTTTATGATTGACTTCAGGTACAGCTGTTGATTAAACAAAAAGGTTTCTTGAATGTTAAAAAGTTAAAAAAGTAGATTAAAAATGAGTTGATTAATAATAACAAACCTGCACATTTGAGAGGAGGAAGAATGCAGTAAAAATATCACACAAACATTTTTAAATGAAACTCATTGAAAGAAAAGTTTACTTTACCGTAAACTTTACTCCTTCCTGTTTTGATCTACTGGATGACYATCTCCCTCTGTACCATGCTCACTGATATGAATCTGTTTTTAGGTCAGTATGACAGAGAGCATACATTCTGTGTATGTAGCTCCTAATCAGGGATTAGTGCACAGACAGCTGAGTAAAAATCCCTAGCAGGAACTTAAAATACCAGTTTGTCCTAATCTGGTACTTTTTGTTCTTATTTTAAACACGGCTTAACTGATGAACTGAAGCCAAATATGCTTTCTTTTTTCAGTGAGCCAAGTACAATGCTCATACATGCTAACAATTTTCTCTGAGTCATACCAGAGGAGGTTGTGAGGTGAAATCTGTGCTGAATCTAATTATAGGAACACTTATTGCCCACCTCCTTTCATAGTAGAGGTTTGTGATATGATGAAAAGTGACAGAATTTGGCTAATGGAACATCGTTAAGGAACAGTCTAGCTACCCTGCAGAGAATACTCATTTCATATTTGTGATCTGGTTCTTTCGGTCACTACCCAAAGTTCATGGTCARAGGTGAGGGTAGGAACGTAGACTGCCTGGTAAACAGATAGTTTCACCTTACAGCTCAGCTCCCTCTTCACCACAACAGACCGGCACAGAGTCCGCATTACTGACTGAGGACCAGATTTGGAGGTGCTGATCCTCATCCCAGCCGCTTTACACCTGGCTGAGAACCACTCCAGTGAGAGCTGAAGATCACAGCARGAGGACACCAACASAACCACATCATCTGCAAATAGCAGAGATGGACTCCTGAGGTCYCTGAACCAGACTCCTTCCATTCCCTGGCTGAATCGAGAAATTCTGTCCATCAAAGTTYTAAASAGAATCGGTGARAARGGGTAGCCCTGGAGGAGTCCTCTGAAGGGGTCTGACTTTKTGCCAGTAACGCAAACCAAACCTTTGCACTCATGTGACCCCTTGAAGATCCCAGTGAGGGTAAAGAGCTGGTCCAGTGTTCCATGACTGAACCCGCTTTGCTCATCCTGAATCTGTGGTTCGACCATTGATCAAACTGACTTCTCCAGCACCCTTGAATAGACCTTAGTGGGAAGGTTCAAATGAATCTCAGAAATGGTCATTATARGTATTTGTATGATATAATATTTGTCTTCAATAAAATCTCCTGAAATTAACTAATCAATTTTATGTTTTAAACTCCAGATGACCAAGTTTCAATCCTTTTACAGATTGATAAAAAGCATTCAGTTGAAAAACTGAGTAAACCCCATGTTATTTATTACAGGCACCTCACTTTGTTGTTTGTTTTACACAGACTACTTATCAGCTTCTAATTTCTCCAGTTGATCTAAGGATATAATCCAAAGACCTCTGGCATTCTCTGGTGCATATTTTGTTTTGATGAAAACCTTACAACTGATTGCCTTCGTAGCRTGAATTTTGTCCTGTTTCTTTAATGATCTAGCTTTTTTTGGCAATATRAGCATTCTTTTAGTGAGATGTTTGTTAATGTAGATACTTGTACCTTTTATATTTCTACACTGTTTAAGCAGATCAGTGCAAGATCGTACAAAGAGCAACTTCAAGTCACACTGTCATTACACCCACATGATGCTATCATGCAAAAAGGAGAATAATGACAGAAATCACCAAGACACTTGTGATCACTTTGAAGGATAAGCTTCAGCAYGTGAAATTGGAGAGATTGCAAATAACAACTTTTGCCTGGGTTCATCACCAGTCTAAACCTTATGGGAAAGTGGCAAAAAAAGAAGCCATTGTTACATACAACTCAGATTAAATCTCATCTAGTGTTTGCAAAACAACACTCCATGGTCAAGTGCTTTTTGGCAGCTGGACCTGAAAGGATTTTAAAAAGGTAAACTGAATTGGTATTATTCTGTGGAACATTAATTTGACTTTGACACAGAAATAGTTTTGTTTGTTTTCATCAAAAAGTTACATTTATTTTGAACATGACTGATATTTCTATGGACACAATGTTGGAAATGTTACATAAAGACAATTTGCAAGGAGCTGATCTACCTGAAACATGAATATCTGGAGGACAGATATCAGGAGAGGGCGAGGACACTGGAGCTGGCTCCTCAGCAAAGATCTGCACAAAAAACACAAACTGATGAAACCAAATGTATATGATAGTGATGAGTGGAAAAAAGACGTACAGGTCCAGCCAAGTGGAAAAAAAATCACTCCAAAGTGGATTAAAGCCATAAAAACAAAGAAAAGACATTCGTGTTTATGGTTCCAGAATTTAGCTTTTTTTGCTATTCCTTGGCTTCTTGTTCAGTGAATTTTTCACGTAGAGCTGTGACACTTATATTTCTGGAAAGAGCAGAGTCTAGGCTTTAAATCGATGGGCTACTTGTATAGTTTGGATCGTTTCCCCTGACGTTAGTGAACTGAAAACGTAATGATTATCAGGCGGAGGTTTTGCAGCTCTCGGTGCTCGGGAGGAGGAGGGGGCGCGGCTCATCGCTCGGGTTTTGTCTCCACTGTAATATACACTCTAACAAGGTTTTACTTTTGCATAAAACTCATGACAAAGTGGCCTAAAAACATTTCATACTCTGTATAACACAAACGTGCGCACACACACACCTACCTGTATCGGGCTGGCTGCTGTGTGTTAGCTTCCTCCTAGCTGTGAGGTGGTCTTTTCTCTCCCGGTCTTGGCAGTAAAGGAGGATAAATGTACATTTCCCTTTTGTAACCTCCGTCTTCTCATTTCTGCATCTGACTCTTGAATATCCTCAGGTTAGAAATGTCGATTACAAACGCAAGCGTGAGTTTTAAAGATGTGTTCCCTGTATAGCTATGATCCATAGCTGTCACCTTTACTCCTCATCAAGAGGAAAATGGATAAAAACTAAATACTCTATCGTACTGCTGGTTAGTGGACACAACGGCACACAAAATAACTCATGTTTTATATCAGTAGCTCACAGATGCTTTAACTTTTGTAACTTTTTCACGGACTTGTATTAGGACTCTAAAAACATAGGCAGTAACCAGGAAATGGAAGGGAGGAGCGTGGCCAGAATTTTACCGGAAATGCGTCAATGACCGTGGCATATAGGCTATTCAACCATGTCTGGTTATAATAAAATAATTTTTTCTTTTTTCTTGTTTTTAAACAGATGTAGAAAGCTGGAGCAAAAAAAAGGTTTTAAAATACAGCTTTAGTTTTACCATTTTTAATGTTCTTCTAAGTAATAAAACACAGTTTATTCAAAAATATCCTGAAAGAACAGTCACATGTCAGGAACCTGACCTCTGGTGATCTGATGTGGACTTTTAGGCGTCCAGAGTTGTTGCCTGCAGCTCGCTGAACTCCATTGTGCAGAGATGTGCTACTTGGGAAAAGTCCTTTACCAGGGATGAAGGCAATTTCAACCGTAATGTCTTGGCTGGAGATATAAACAAAYCAGATGTAATCAGAAAGACAAATAGGATAACAAATAATAATTTTATTAGCATTAATTTAACCAAGCTGTTGATGATTAATGACTTCTCTTCTTCTCTTCTTACACTGTTCCTGTGACAACTGGTGTGCCTCAGGACTCTATCCTTGGACCTGTCCTGTTCTCACTGTACATATATGCTGCCATTGAGTTCAGTCGTAGCTAATAATCTCCAGTTTCATTTTTATGCAGATYATGTTCAAGTCTATTTGCCAATTATCCCCAACAACATAAATCCTTTGGACTGCGTTTTGYATGGTCTTAAGTATATTAGAGAGTGGCTATCACAAAATTCTCTGTACCTGAATGAAAACAAAACAGAATATATATTGTTTAAGGCTAAAATATGGTCAAATGTTGTTGCTCCTTACAGTAGACCGTGGTGAAGAATTTGGGTGTGATGTTTGACAATTGTTGGTTAAATCGTGATTTAAAATATTATGGTTCATCAAATTGTGAGTTCCTGGGAGCAACAGGAGATTACATGGTCGTAAACAGGATGACACTTTGAAGGTGGGGGACGCTTTAAAAGCCTGACAGCTGTACAGAAATTCAATTCATGCTGCTGACATTGTATGCTTTGTACCTTGTCTGTATATGGACTCCTTGCAAGTAAAAGAGAGCTCAGTAACCAGATCTGCTGCTTGTTCGTCATTCCTTTATGTCAAGAATCTTGATAATTAATTTTTGTAATAGTCTAAAATTTGACAAACAAATTGATTGCACTGTTAGAACCACCTTTTTTCAACTCCGACTTCTGGCTAAGGTTAAAACCTTCCTGAGTCAAAAGGACCTTGAAAAGGAAATGCATGCTTTTATCAGTTCTCATATTGATTATTGTAATGCACTTAATGTTGGAATAAGCCAGAGATCCCTATATCGGCTCCAACTGGTCCAGAATGCTGATACTCAACTGTTGATCAACATTAGAAGGCACAGTCACATTACGCCTGTGCTTTTCTCCCTCCATTGGCTTCTGGTTTGTTTTAGGGTTGATCTAAAACTTTTAATGTTTGTTCAGTAGTCACTGTTGTAAAGTGCTATATAAATAAAATTTGATTGATTGATTGATTGATTGATTGATTGATTGATTGATTGATTGATTGATTGATTGATTGATTGATTGATTGATTGATTGATTGATTGATTAACCAGGTAAATTCTATTGAGATCACAGACCTCTTTCTCAAGGGTGGTCAAGTCAGTCTAAATATACATTTTATTAGACAGGGTCATCCCTATGTTCCCTCCAGTCCACCATCCCTATTTCCCCGTTACCCAGATCACAGTGTTTCCCGGTACACCCATCCCTGTTTCCTCGTACCTATAACCGATGCCTTCACTGTAAATCAGTATTCAAAAAGGTTTTGTTTTTGGTAACATCGTTTTATCTGTCTGTCTATCCATCCATCTGTCTGTGCACAAGGTTCATCAAAAAGTTATGAAAGGATTTTCATGAAATTTACAGGGCAAGCTGGGGTTATCACAAAGAACAACTGATTACATTTTGGTGGTGATCTGGTAACATCTGTTACAGCTGCAGCTTGCTGTGATCTGGCAAAAACAGAACCTGAAGCTCAAAACACAAAACAGACAACAGGAACTTGAAACAGACAACAGAGCTAGAGGCTGCTTTTTAGTGATAAGATCATACTGTGACAGCCAATCAGCATTCAGCAGAGTTTTGTTCCACCAATCACAGCTCAGCAGCTGCACACTCTAATTTGCATTACCTAGGGTCTTAGTGGAGGTGTGCACTCTCCTGGTGCTTCAAGTTTTCATTTGTTGTAAAAGGCATTTGATGGGCAAACCTTTCATGACTGCCATTATTAACCCCATGAGAATGGAGGTACTGGTGTTAAAAAAATTGTTGTCACCGTATTAAGATTTTATTCTTTCTACATGTTAGTCTAGCCTGGTTTAAACCAGAGCCTGTCCTTCACTTTGCTTCGTACAAGGGTCTGGACTTGCTGAACAGAGAAGCGTTTCTAACAGGAGGCGTGGCCTCTGCTGAAGTTTTAAAATGATTGGATCAGTTGGCTGCGACGTTTGTCGCTGTGAAGGAGGCTAAGCTAAGAAGCTAACCGGAAATCGCGTGTGTTTTAAACAACTCTACTGAGAGGAGAAACATACCGAGCCGAATGAGACGGCTGTAAATGAGAGCTGCTGCTTTGTCAGACAAATTTATTTTAATTTGGAAGCCTCATCAACACGGACTGGCTTCATTCACTTCCTCCACTGCCCTATGCTAAAATAACTAGCAGACACTGCGCAGAAAGTCGAAGTCGTTCAAAACTCCTCCTTCTGTTCGCTGATTGGCCCAGGTAAAATAAAATACAAGCAGACACTGCGCAGAAAATCGATGTTCTCTTCTTTGATTGGCCCGGCTAAAAATCTGCCAGCGAAATCCATCTCTATGGGAGAAGTCCCAGACGGAGCAGTGAAGGGAAACTCGAATTGAGCGGAGCTGCGTAGGAAGGCAAGGGCCAGGTTAATGTTAATCTAAACTTGTTGATCTAATCCCCACCTTGCTGAAAAGTCCTGATGTATCTCAGTTATCCAGGTAGAAAAATCTAAAAGAAAAATAAGTAGGTCCTCTGGACGAATGAAATGTTTTGTCTCTCCTCCAAGAGACTTCTTCAGTCTGAGGAGTTTCAGATAAACTCAGCCTTATAAGCACTGCCTCCACATGGTGGACAAACAGGTTAGTCACATGCAAAAGAGGGCCATCACCTAACAATAGGTCATTAGTGCCTTGACTAGCTCTATAGTTTGTTCATACAGGGTCATATGCCCCATCACTTGACTATCGTTGGGGCCCTGATTCACACCTTTTGCTCACAGGGGGCTGAGTCATACTTGCAATAACAGCGTTGTAGGAGGAGGACAACTGGACACGAAGGCCTCCACCTCTGTTTAATGGTGGATGGTTTTTCTTCACAAAGATGGCTTCCTTTACTCCTCTCTCAAACCAAAGTTCATCTCTATCAAGGATGAGAACATCTTCATCCCTGAAAGAGTGACCGCTGGCCTGTAGATGAGTGTAAACTGCAGAGTCCTGACCTGATGATGTAGCTCGTCTGTGCTGGCTCATTCTTTTGAACCGTGGCTGTTTTGTTTCCCCAATGTATGACTGATCACAGTCCTCCTGACACTTAACAGCACATACTATATTACTCTGTTTTTGCCAGGGAACTGGATCTTTGGGGTGAACTAATCTTTGTCGTAAAGTGTTTTGGGGTTGTTGAAATGTTCTCTTTTTCTGATTAATGGCTCCGACATGCCTATAGTTCGTAAGCCTGATATAAAAAAGCCCCAGAGTGACTGTGATGTTCGTTTATTCTGCTGACATGGTATAACTGTTCTCTGTGGCTCGATTCCTTGCATGGGAGTAAAGAGCTCTAAACCCAAATCTACTGCTAGTTTAATGTTTCCTGTGTGACGTGTCTTGATAAATAGTTTATCCAACACAAGGAACAGAGATACTAAGAAACATAGGTATCACCGATTTGAACTGTGGAAGGAAACCAGAGTACTGGGAGAAAACCTGAGCAAACATGAGAGGAACTTTTACACACATGAAGAACCCAGGTCCAGCTCAAGACTTGCACCCAGGACCTTCCTGCTGTGAGACAACAGTGCTAACCACTAAACCACAGTGCTGCCCTTGATATTTAATAATTGAAAAACATTGTTTTTGTCTTCATAAATACAGTTTTTACCATATTATTCTTTCCACGTATGAAAACTGTGATGTTTGGAAACTTCTACTCAAAATAAAAATCCAGTTATTTATTTATTAACTTTAGTTTTTTTGATTGATCACTAGCTGGATGACTGAGAATATTTACCAACATTATAAATATAAAATATGGCAGTTGATAGAGCTTTTGTCTTTCAGCAAGAAGGTTGCTGGATCAAATCCAAGCCAGGGATCTTTCTGGATGGGGTTTGCGTGTTCGTCTAATGCAGGAGTGGGTTTTCTCCAGTTACTCTCACAGACCAAAATGAGCTCCACTGGTASACATCGTACTTCTTGAACAATGTTTTAGAAACATAATTATTTTAAACTAAATGTTGAACAATAAAATGTTCGTGTCTAAGTGACAAACTCAGCAGCTGAAAGTGGACCTGTCTGTCACAAACTACCGGGCCAATTTTTCTCCCCAGTTTTGGTATAGCCATCTTGTTCAACAACATAAACAGTTGAATAATTTATTGTGAAAGCAAGCAGCAATTACCTGAATTTAACTTTGTTTAGCATACTTTTTGCCTCCTCATGGGTCACACCTATCAAGGACTCTTTGTTGATGGCAATGAGCTGATCTCCAGGCCTCAGACGTCCATCCTGCACACAGAAACAAATCTCTTATTGCAATGTTTGTCCTTATTTTAGAGATAAATGCTTGTGTCTTTGTTTGTTTTAAATTTCCTAAAGCTTTTTATTTTGCAGAAAAGAATGTCAACACTTCTTTAAATGTAGTCACTGTCAGTTTTTGAAAAACACCAAAACAAAAATGCCAAGCAGTAACATTTCTTCATTTCACAAAAGATTTTGACGGATTTKAATTTGAGTTTAAAAACAGAGCAGGTAAGAAATTGTTGAAGTCGTGGAAGTGAACAGCAGACTAGCATCTGTGGGAGTTACAATTAAACTTAAAAATAAATAAGTTGGAGACATATAAAGGAACTAATTTGTTTCAAAACAATAGGGTTAAAAACAGATGCTCTTTTGTGAACAACACTAAATGGTTTAAAGTCTTTTTAAAACTTTTAAGAGTTTAAAAGTTCAACCTGAGACTGCGAGTGGCTGCAGGTAGCAGCTTATTGCATAATACTGCTAAAAAGACTGTGTAACAATAGTATTGTAGTGAATGAAGCAAATTTAAATATAAAATCTTAAGTGACTTAAAGGCCTTGAAAGAARGGATATCACATGTGTAAGACTGGCTAATGTTGAGAAATGATGAAGTTCAGTGTGCTTTGAACAAACCTTCAAAATAATGTTATGTGCAATCTCATGAAATAGTGAAATGTCATGACTCTCAGCTAAAACATCTATCTATAAAGTGTATTTAATTATTGTATTTTTTGTGATTTTTCAGGTCAGTTAGCAGTGATGGACATCTTGAATTGAGTTGGCCTCAAAAGTTAATTACGGTAGTTGTAGAGTTACATCCAGCAAAAGTCAAGGGTTATTCAATACTAGACTGTATACATGTTTTTTGGGTGTGTGTGTGTGCGTGTGTGCTTGTTCTTGTTACCTATTTACAGGGCTCTCAAGTCTCATACATTGACCATGAGACACACACATTTTAGGATGTGCACACGGCACACTTTGCATTTCTCACACTAAAACACACACACGCACAAATGCGTGCACACTTTTTTGAAGAAGCACGCCTAAAAATTCCATCTCCGCCTATTTTTGTGTTTTTATTCCTGCATTGGGAGTCCTGCACGCGTGCACGCTGCAGTCAGAGCCGATCGCACCTGTCAATCACCTGCCRGAGCTGCGCGTTATTAGAAAGAGCTGCAGCAGCGTGAGACGAGACCCCAGCTCAGACCGAACCTTTCCACCTGTTGCACGCACAAATTATGTTTTTAGCATAGTTTAAAAAAACTGTTCTCACGAGGATATGGTGCACGTGCGGCACATCACCTGCAAACAACTGGATCAGCCGTCTGAGCCATGGTAAATAAAGGGATAACCCGGCTGTTTTTAACGCAGGGCTGCAGGTCAAAATTTATAACAAAGACCTCACATGATGTTAGTGCTTGTAAGTTGTTTTTTTATTACGGGCATATATACAATTTTTTTCTTCTTCTTTTTGCCCCCTTTTCATTCAATAATAGATTTACTTTGATTTTTTTAATGGAATTTGTTATTTTTACGAGATAAATTCTCTCAGCTACTACTACCAGTCTACTTCTGAAGCTTCGCAGGACAACCCAGCAGCAAATGACTCTTCTCCTGCCCTGCTTTACAGAACAGGATGTAGTTTTTACTGGAAAGTTTTTCCTCTCACAGACCAAAATCATATTTGTTAAAACTAATATGTCATAAAAAAACAAATAACTGAATAGTCTGGGATAGTGCTACAGTAGTAGTTTGCAATTGTGCTTTTTTAGTCTTTATTTCTAGTTTTGGTTATTCATTATTACAGTTTTTGTTCACAAAAGTAATCAACAAGCAAATAGACTGTTTTAAAAACCATAGAAGCGGTGGTGGCTTTAAAACTGAGAAAGCTTGTTT